TACATATAATAATTCGCCGATCTAATGTGCACATCTGTCCTGCCTAGCCTTCAGGGAGGTCTTAGACATCACATTCAACAAGGGAGGTTAAAATACTTTATGAATTATAAAACTGCAGAACAAACATGGGAGATGATGGTGCAGACTGGCAGATGTGATGGTGGCCTTGGTTGGAGACCTTGGGGATGGGTGTTAGGAGGGAAGGTAGAGTGAATGCCAAGTCTCAGTTTGGGGAGCATCTACCTTCTGGAGGGATAGCTCTTTCCTTCCCAGTACGTGTCACCTGGCACAGACTGAACTAGAAGAAGACAGGGGTATATCAGGCTAGTAGTTGAGAGTCAACAGTCAGAAATCCCTGCGGTTGCTAGTGACTTCCTCCAGGGAAGGGGAAAAAAATACAAAGCTAGCTCTTCAACCTTGAGCTTGAAATCAAAATAAACAGCTGGGTTACTGTTTTGCAGAGTAATTGTGAAGGGCAAGAAAGAGTCAGTTTGCACAAGGCGATTGCTCAATGGAAAGGTCCTGCCAGAGGAGGCATCCAGCACAGTTGTTGTAAGGGCTGCTCAGTGGAAAGCTGCCTTGGACGAGTGGACAAGAAGGGTTAACACAAGCCAGTAGGATGGAAGTGGCTGAGCTAAGACTAGGTTAGGAGGGTTGGGAGAGACGCATCCGGGCCTTTAGCCAGGCCTGGGCTTCAAGTGGAAGCATTTCACAACTTTATTTCTCCATGGGTTATGTCCTTGGATTGAACAACCAGTGGGCATCTTGGGGTAGTGGAAAGTGCAGGGGACTCAGAGCCAAAGTGCTGCCTTGCAGGCCTGGCTCCTTCACTGCCTGGTGGTGTGACCTCTTCTCTCTAGGCCAGGGTTAGAATAGACTAAATGACCCCTGGGGCTCTTTTCAGATCTAGACCCCTGGGAGGTATGGGGCAGGCCCAGCCTGTCTTCAGAGAGGAGGGCTTCTGTGACCTACACCCCAGAGCAGCTGAGTTCTGTGGCCAGGCGTTAGCTTTGGCCCAGATGGTAACATGGGGAATTTCAAATGAGGTCATCTTGGGGCAGAGACAACTGTGCGCCTGTTGACCAAGGTTTTGGATCAGATGAATCAGAAAGCTAGGACTTTATGAATTCATGCTCACCAACTATGGAGCTCTGTGAAACCAGTGGGAAAAGTCCCCTAATCGACATCATGTCTCAGGCAATGTTCTCCCTTTAAACCCTGAAGAGCATAAGCTACAGATCTTTCCCCTTCCACTCCCATTTTTCCTTCTCTAGTCTTCTTTCCCCCTCCTCCCTTCTCCCATCTCCCAAGAAGATTCTCAATGATACATGTACTTTCTCTCTTAGACTCTCTTGTCTTTGCTCTTCCTGGTGAACAAGAACATAACTAGTCCAGTTTGGGGAAGTAGGGTGATGGGGCACAATGCCAAAGTTCACAAAGCTGACCAATTTGTCCCTCTGCTGGCTCAAGTTGAGTTTGGGTCCATGTCGGCAGAGAGGTTCCACAGTGAGCAGCTCTATCTCATTTCTGGAGATGGGCCCCAGTCCTCCATAGCACTTGAATTCTCTGGCCCTACCTGTGGGATCCAGAGGAAACTTCAAACAAAATACAACATTCCTGAGAAGCTACTACTCATTATTTTTAGATGAGGCAAAGGGTTCAGAGGGGGGTCAGTCATAGTTCTTACTTCTAAGGAGAAAGATAAGTGGGCAAGTCACTGTAAAACCATGTAGAATATGGGGATGGCCACAAATACAAGGAGATTTCAGAAGAAGAAGAAACAGGGCTGATGGGAGGTCAGAGAAGGCTTTGTGGAAGGGATGACAGAGATAGAAGTGTTGTCAACATCATTATTATTTTGATGGTTAGATTAAAACTCACTTTTATTTGGCTCCTAAAATGTTCAAGATAGTGTGCTATTCCTTAATATATAATCTTCAAGGAAATCCTACCTCTAAGATAGCATCATTTTTGTAGAAGAAGAAAGGTGAATCTCTGAGAGGTCAAATAACTTTCCTAACACCAACCAGAGCACCTGGTTTCTAGAGCCCATGCTTTCTATGGAGTTTTGGAGGTGAGATATTCTTATTGGAAGATAAAGAAGGATAGATTGGAGTGGGAAAACACAGTGTAATTTTGCTTAATCATGAGAATTAAGCCTAGGGGGACTTGAGGACTAGTGAAGAGGTTGACTTTGTCCTGGAAGGTACAGTGGGACAGGGAATGTTTGAACCAGACAGTGACATAATCAAAAGCTGGCTTTTGGAATGGTCATTCAGCTGCCAGTACTGGACGGGTTTCCAGGAACATGGAAGGTGAGGGGGCGGGCTCAGAGCCTGGAGTATTACCTGGGTAATAGGTGATGAGGGCCAAAGCTGGGGGCACAGAAGGGAGGGAGAATCAAGTAGCACTTGTCCTTCCATTCCCCGCTTTAGTGCCAAGGGCATAGCAAGCAGAGAATAAAGTTTCCACTCTGATGAGGCTCCACAGGTGTCTAGAGAGCTTTCCTGTCACTCAAGACTCATGTCATGAGGTGAATAACACTCTTTCCTCATTTTCAGGGTACGGTGCACCCTCTGAATTAAATCCTTTTGTCCCCATTCAATTTATACCTTTTCTTATTCATTCTTGTCTCCCCACTCCCAAAACACCAAGAAAGCGGAACCAAATGAATCATAGAGTTCTTTTAATGGAATCAGAGTCTGAAGGAGAATATCTGGGTGGAACCAAAGAGAGGATGCTCTGAGTCACCAGCCACCCTCAGGAGATCACACCCAAGGTGGATCAGAAAGGCTGGGAGGGAGGGTGAGAGGTAGAGTGGCTAGCAACTGTTCAGTGCAGAGATGTCTGACAGAATCTCAGAGGCTCTGTGATGAACTCTGTTTCCAAGATCTTTAGGATACTCCTGCAAAGATGGTGGTCAAAACCAAAATGAAAGCTGCTGAGATTCTTGATTCAGCCAGTAATCATGTTCTTCACTGGCACTGCCAGAGGGCTGCTTGGACATCAGAGTGCAGTACAGAGTGGTATTTCCAGGCTTAACTCTCTCAGCAAGGAGGGCTTTCACCAGGGTTGGGAAAGAAAGGGAGACTATAATCTACGCTGCAAATGCCCAGGGTAGGGTGGGGAGTTGGGTGGTATATAACTGAGATTCAGCTCCTGTCATCTTAGTTTATTAACTTTACAAACATAGTACTTGTCATGTGCCTGGCATGTTTAAAGCATTTTATAAGGCATTCAATTCTCATAACAATCCCATAAGGCAAGGACCTTAACCCCTTTTGCAGAAGAGGAATCTGAGATATGAAGCAACCTGGCGGAGGAGATTTGGGAGAATCCAGGTTTGATCCCAAGAAGTTTGACTATAGAGTCCAAAATTTGAACTCCTATTCTATGTCACTCTTTATTATGGTTTCCAGTCTAAGACTCTGGTACCCCTACACAAAGAAAGATCAGATCGATTCATTTCTAAAGTTGCACCCACTTTAGATTCTCAAACTCTGTGTAACTCAATGGAATCAGTAAGTGGTTAGGACGTAGGCTGTGAGTTTTCAGTGGGCTGTTAAATATGCCTTTGGTGTGAGACCAAGTTCTAGTATTAGTTTCCACCATGCTGACAGTGAATTGGGTGGGTCTGTGACGCATTGTAGGGCCCCAGACCTTCACATAAGGGACTTAGAATTGATACCAGTTTGCAAACTCTGATTAGATTGTGAAAACAGTGTTCAATCTAAGTAAAGAAAGGTGAGATGGGGAAGTAATCATGAAGAGTTGGGCTGCAGTGTGCGATGATTCAGTGAGATAAGAATAGGAGAAAAGGCTTGACCCTGAACACTGGCCATAGGAGATGCCTAGAGCCTTCAGTTTCCTGAGCAAGGCAGATTATTAGTTGGTAGCAATGGAGTTACTGGAATTGAAGAAATATAACCTTTCTAGTGACCCAAATGAAAAAGCTTGCATGAAAATACAATCTCAAATCTTCTACTTTGTTAGTCATTCCATAGGAAAAGGCCAAATTCACATTACAGATTCCCTGGTGGGAAGGCAGCAGATGTAATGAAATGAACACTGGTCTGGTGTTAGGACATCCAGGTTCTAACCCTGGATTTGCTTCTAACAAGGTGAATGACATTATATGAGTTGTATTCCTCCTTGGTCTCAGTTTGCCTGTAATGACAGTGACTTTTTATTGAGTACTTGCCATGCCAGGCTTTGTTCTCAGGGCTTGACATATATTGCCGTATCTAATTCTTGGAGAAGTTTCGTAGACACTATAATTATTGCTGTAACCCAAAGGAAACAAATCAAGAGCTCAGGGAAGTTAAGTAACTTATGTTGGAAATTTGTCCCAGAGAGTTTCACCACCCTCCATGATTTAGTTAGCTATTTGTGCAAAGATGCTAGTGACTTTGGTAAGCAAAGACTCTAGATTGAGGCAATGTTTTATCATACATTTCTTTCAGTGAAGTGTGGTAGCTTGCACCAACCCCTCTAGATGCTCAGCTCTGGGACTGCAGGGTGTCATCACTGTCTTCCTAGTGATACACACAGTAGGTCTTCAGTGACTATTTGTTGAGTGAACATATGGAAGAATAATTGAATTCAGCAGAGCAGAGAAGCAGATGAAGTGATGGGAAATATAAAGAGGCTGAATGGAATGAGCTTGGTAGAGTGTGACCTGGTCTAGTCTGGAAGCTGAAGAACTTTACTAAGAGTCAAGGTTTTGACTTTCACCTTAAAATCTGCAATGTGGCACATGATCTCTTTTTAACACATAAGACATGTTTTGGTGTCGCCATTTGAAAATGTCTGCTGAAGCTTGCCTTCCAAAGTCTGGCTGCTATAGAAGAGCTTTGAGATCTGAGCCCAGTATCACCAACTCAGGGAGGCTTCAGCAAGCCCATTACTTCTCTGGGTTGGCGTTTCCTCCTTTATCTCATTGGGGTTTGGATAAGCTCCATACCTGTAGAGCCTACAGTAGAACTTTTCTTTCTTTACAGGCAACTTGTCAAGCTTCAGTCTTTCCTGCCACCTGTTGCCGAAGCTTACCTATCCCATGTCCTATGTACAGAGGATTCTGTTCTTAACCAGCGATATTTATCATTAGTTATTCTGATGACTGACTACACCTGCTAGTGTGTTCTCAGGTATTTGTATGCCTTGTCTTCATAAAATATTCACAGTTTACCATGTCCTTGAAGACATCATTAATGATGGGATTTTTGACCACTTAACAGGTTTGTGGGAGAAAGATTGCTAATTACAGATGACAGGGGACAAAAACACTACCTTGTTCTTCATCTCATTTGATTCCCACTTGGGTAGGTCCTGTCACTAGCAAGTGCAGGTGCTTTGGTACTGTAGGAAGAGGTTTGGGAAGAGACCTGTGTGATCCCAGCTTTTCCGGTACCTGCAGGACCTCTTCCTCACTTTCTTCTTCTTATATGAGAGTAGATTGATTAGATCACTCTAGGGCTTCTCTGGCTTCAGCCTTTTACAAATCTAGATGTGCTGGGCTTTGTTCTACAGAGAACAGATGCAGCTTACGTGGTTCACACTGTTTGGACTCCATGACATTCATATATAGTTTCCCTAAGTGGCATTTGCTGTACATGTGTTGTCAGTCTATCCTGAGAGTGGCAGTGAGAAGCTATTATTTTATTGTTATTATTATTCTCGAATTACTGACAATAACAAAGAAATTCTGAATGATTAAATGAATTATAAAAGGGCAGTTCCTGTAATTGGGCAGAATGGTGGAACTGGGATTTTAACCAAATACTGAAACCCTGCTTGTACGGCTCATAGAGTTTCTCAGGAGTTGTTGGTCTGGTTTTTCTTGGGCTCCCTTGAGGTTCAGGGCCCAGAGAGTTGCAGCTGAGCTCAGGAATGACTGCCTTTTGGGAGGGCAGGTTTACCCATCCCCCACAGGTCCCATGTCCTAAGATCCTGGACCTCCTCCCCCTCCCCACCTCACTGGCTAGTTTGACAGGCAGCACTCTGCACTGGGTGTTCTCTGTTTCACCCTCCAAATCCATTCTCATCCATTTTTTCCCCAGGATCTCCAGGAGGCTGACCTTGGATATCAGTAGATTCACTTGTCTCCTGGCTCCTGGGTAGAGTCAACCCAGCACTAAGCAGGTGATTATAAAGTAGGATAGGGGAGAAGTATGCTTATTTCGTCTCCTAGCTCCCTCTTTGCTGGCTACAGGTTGTCCAGTGGCTGTTTCCTCTGCTGAAGTCCATAGCTGTGATTAGGCAGCCCTCTCTTAAGCTTACCAGCACTTTCCAGATTCTGGAAATGGCCACGTTCCTTTATGCTTTCAGGCCAAGGGCTGTAAAAGCTCCCACTTGTAAGCCTCATGGTGTGTGTGTTGCCATCTCTTGTTTTTCCTTATCCGTGCCTGCACCTTTGTAAATTATCTAGTTTATCTCACTTCCCATTGAGTGTGCCCTCTGCTTCTTGTCAGGATCAAGATCAATACAACCTGTTTCATTCTTTCTTGTTTCCAGTCTTCCATTTCTTAAGAGTGTTTATGACCCCGTGCATTTAATATGAAGTGCTGTAGATACTTCTCCTTGCAATGTTTAACCAAGAATAAGACCAAGCCAGAGGAAGAAGCAAAAGGTTGTGGCTGCATGGCAGGGGAGAGAGTGGGGTGATAATAAAAGGCACTGAACTTGGACCTGAACATTGAAGATCCAGGTGGACCACTTGCTGTCAATATCATCTTGCCAAGTTACTTTTCACTAAAAAAAATTAAGAAGAGTTTATGACTTATCTTCCCCATAAGCTTCTTGGGAAGACCAAATGAGGCAAGGCCATATGAAGTATTCTGTAAATGTTGAAACATTTTCTTAGCATTAAGTGTTTCTGTTGTTGTTTTGTTGTTGTTGTTGTTGTTGTGTGTGCATTCAGACAAAATCCTCAAGAGGCCATGCACTGCATTTTCCAATGTACTCAGATTTCCCCATCACCTCTGGGCCTCCTGGATCAGGAGAACTGGCATTTGTGGAATCCAAGATTAATGTCCAGAGAGGGTTGGCTAAGCATGGGCCCACATGGCGTAGCTAAAAATACTCTTAACCTCAGTGGGAGCATCTCAGTCCCTAAAGGGGGTGGGCCTGGAGGATAGAGGGTGTGTGAGGGGAATGACCTCCATCAGCTTGGGCTAGGAGAGGACAGGGAGAAGGTGGCTGACACCGGAGCCTCCTTTCCAAGTGCCAGTTAGTGCAGTGGCTGATTACTCTCTGTCGGTCTTCTGTGCATTTCAGTGGAAGGTGGGGTGGGAGGAGGCTGACCTGAACCTTTTGTACTTTTCTGTTGGAGTGAAGCCTATGCCTCACAGCTCTTCCTCATGGCCAGGACTCTTAGGAATTTTTTCTGACTGCCAGTGGAGATGATAGACACTTAGAGTCAGAAGGAGGTAAGAAGGATGTAATCCTAGGATCTTGACTTGGAGTTGATTGTAGAGGCTGACTTTAGCCCAGGGAAGCAGAATCTAATCCAAGAGCCTGGATTTACTATCTCTGGGGTTGGGGAGAGGCAGGCTCACTGTCTCCCTATCTTAAAACCCAGTGATTTGCAGACTATAATTCTTAGAGCTCCAGACCCTTGCTACTAAAAATTTGGTCCATGGATCAGTGGCATAGACATCAGCTAGGAACTTATAAGAAATGCAAGGTTTCAGGTCTCCTCCTAGATCTCTAAATTGGAACCTGCATTTAACTCAGTCCACTATGCATTAAAGTTTGAGAAGCACTGTTTTAGGATCCTTCTGAAATCCCAAAGGGGATCCACAATGGGTGGGCTCCAATTGTACCTATGAGGTCTTATAAATGATTACATTTGAAAAAATGGTTCCAATTGCATTTAGAAAAAGATTTTAAAAATTGAAACCAATGTTGTCTTTTCCTTTATCTTATAGAAAGAAATTCTGCTGACAATAGGACCCTATCTCTCCTTCTGTGGCCAGGTGTCACATTGCCCTGCCCTGTCCAAGCCTTCCTTGACTGAGTCCTGCACATGCTTGGTGCAGGGAAGAGGCTGCTCCATCAAGGAAGGGCAATGTTAGGAGATTCGTGGGACCTCGGATTAGCTCTCAAACCTTGATATTCCCAGCTCTGAAGATTCCACTTTGACAGTGCTACCTGGTGAGATGCTAATGATACGAAAGGAGTCTGTCACGACCTGGGAGTTTAGGACTCAGCTTGATTCTCTGAACGGGGAGGGTAGAAGGGTGCGGAGCTTCCTTCTCCGTAGGTGGAATTATGCAGGGAGCTTAGTGTTTGTTGTATGAGGAACATCCTGGCAGGATCGGAAGGAGTGCCAGGAGCTGAGAAGAGATAAGCCTGCTTCCAGCTGGGATCTGGGCACAGCCCGGTGGCAGCAGGTTTTCAGGATTTCCAGAGGGAGTGCTTGGCGGCAGCAGCAGTGTCTTTTCAGAGCCACAGTTTTCTGCTATTATAAGTAACTGTGATTTGCATTCCCTTTGCATCCTAACCTGAAGGAGCGCAAAGCATTCGCTATTGAATCCCCCAGGAACAACCTTATACAAGTTCCCTTAGAGGCAATATTCATGGCTTCTATTCTACAGAAGGGGAAACTGAGGCTCTAAGAGGCCATGCAAGGGTGCCACCTCCATCTGGGATGAACCAGGACTAGAAAACTCTGGGAAGAATCAAGTGCCTGGCATAGCCTCAGGGTCTTGCCCCAAACTCTTGCTGGCCTGAACTGCAGCTTCTTCTCACCCTACAATCTCCTTTACCCAGAGCATCCTCCCCTGCCTGCCCAGGACACTTTGGACCCTCTCCTTATGTGGATATGTTCCCTTCTCTACTATCCTACCTCTATGTCTCCAGATACACATCTCTGCTTTTCCCTGTGACACAACTGTCTTCCTTTGATTGGAGTTATCTAATAGTATGTTCCCTTGGCCACCTATCTACTTTTTAAAACTTTGAAGGCTGGGGTACAGTTCAGCCTCTGGGCAATGATGAAGCCACAGAAGACCAAAACATGAGCTAGTGGAAGCAGCAAAGAGATTCTACATTTATAGATTCTCATGGGTGAAAGGGTCATGTCATTCAACAGTTCTGATCCTACGGAAAGTGGAGGGGCCCATTCTAAAAAAGATTTGGAGCAGAAGCTGCAGTTCCCCATGAAAAATAATGAACCGTCATGCTAGTTTACTGCTATGATTTAGAGAGGTCTTGAGAGTCACAACCAGGCACTAGTTTCTGACCCAACATACTTGCTTTTTCCCCGAGTAACCTGTAAATATGAGAATACTGAGATAATTAATCTCTCAGAATTTTTTGGAGATTAAATAAGGGGAGGTGCATGCTAAATGTTTGCCAGAGAGGTGGCAACTTAAAAGCCTTTCCTGTGTGTCAGCTACCCGCTCCTAGCTCCTAGGAGAAGTCATCTTTTATTTTGTCCTGGAGCTAAATAATGCCTGAGAATGAGAGAACAATGACAGGAATCCCCAAAGTTGAAACTGAGACTTTCCTTTTGGGATATTAATGCTCTGGATCTTTGGAAATGATTATCTAGGATACTAAACACAAGGATTTTAAAAAATGGTGTCTGATCCAGCCCCATGCCAACGCTTCTTTAGTTCCAATTATGTAATTATTCACTAGTAAGTCAGGAGCCAAGTGAGTCGGCCCCTGGGCCATGGTCTCCACCCTAAACAACTTCTGTTTAGAAAGCCGAGGTTGTGGGGTGGAAAGAACACTGTTGTGGGATCCTCAGAACCTGGGCTTATTCTCTGCCTTACCTGGTGATCATTTATCCCCTCTTGCGAGTTTGGCTTCGGCTTCCTCATCTGTCAAATGAGGGTACTAGGGTAGATGCCTCATAAAGTCCATCATGCTAGTTTGTTGTGGAAAACTGGGGCCTCCACAGCCTATGCTCTCCAGGCACCTCCATCTCTCTTGCTTCTCTTCATGTCTACCTATCCTAGGGAATGAGACTGGAAATTAATGAGAACAAGCCTGTCATTTTAATGCTTTTCCTAGTCACTTATCTTTTTCTAGCTGTAAAAACAGCTCAGCAAGTAGATAAGGTAGATGTCCTTCTAATCCCTGTTTTATAAAAGGTACAACTGAAACCCAAAGAGTGCAAGAGACCCAAGGTTCCTTTGCTCAGTAGAGACAGAGCCAGCTTTTACTTTCTCTGCTCTGATTTTTTTTTTTTTTTTTTTTTTTTTGCCAGTGACTTCCAGGACTGGTGGTGGTTATAATGCTAGATTGGTTCCCTGGGTCCAAGCGGAGCCCCTTTTTCCTCTTGACTTCCCTTCCTTTGCCCAGGCTCCAGTTGTCTTTGTCCCTCCTGCTTGGCCATCCTGGAAGAATGTGATGCGGTGAAGCTAAGGCCAGATGAATTGACTAAGAGAAGTCTGCCCAGGGCTCCGCCTCAATCCCTCCTCCTCTTCCTCCCCCATCCTGTGCTAAAGTCCTTGTTCAGGTTTCACCTTCTGAGCAAACTTGCATGTGAGAGCCTGGATCGTTCTCTGGGGATGCGGATGAAGAGCTCCGAGGACAGAGACAGTGCCCGGGGGCAACCTAGGTCAAGTGTGACAGTGAGACTTCTGAGCTGCATGGTTGACCTGCTCTGATAGGTTGAAGACAAGTAATTGGGCAGAAAGTCATGCACCAGGAAGATAAAAAGATAACTTCCAAAGAGGCGGCAGGGAAAGCGAGTCGAGGCCTACAATGAAAACAGGTATATGAGATAAGGCAGAGAATTAGTCAAGGAGATTTGGAAGAATTTCAGCATTTCTGAATATTTCTCACGCCCCTTTCTTCCCTCCATTTTTACTGCCTCCGCCCTCTCACATCTCACTCAGGTAGTTGCAATAACCTCCCAACTGGCCTCCCTTCCCCGGTCTCCTCTACAGCCTGGGTGAACTACTCACCCTTTCCTTCTCCTGTACTTTTCCATCTCCAGTTTTTGCTTGTATGTTTTCCCTGCTCAATTCTTCTAGCCCAGCAAGTGCAAATCCAACTTCATTCTTTAAGGCCCACTTCAAGTGATAGCTCCCCTGTGACATCTTTCCTGAACCTTCCCTCCCGGGGCAGCAACCTCTACCCACCGAGTATATGTAATATGGGATTGTTTGGTCTCCTCTTTTAGGGTTTTTATTGCCATTTGCCTGGTATTGTTGTTGTAACTATTTCTCTGTGTGTCTCCCTCCCTAGCTAGACGAGGATGGAGGATCGCCTTGCATTTGGGGAAGTGAACACTCTCAAGTTTGTATTCCCCACTGTCTGAACTGCCAATGAGTTATTTGATGAATTAATAAAGACATAAATAAAGGAGTACTTGTTGGGACAGGAAACAGGAGAGCTCCAGCATCTGAGCTTCAAATAAGGTTAACCATAAATCTCCAATTAATCTGATTGGGGTGCATAGTTGAGGGAATGCAAATAAATACATTCAAAGAATGGTGGATCAGAAAAAATCCCAGCAAGGGAGTGCAACCCAGGGGACCTATAAAATAGGTAAAAGGGAAATGATGGTGTTTATTTTATGCTTGGTAACAGGAGAAGTCAACAGAAGCTGCAAAAATCTTCTTGGGGTGGGACCAAATGAATCATAAAGCTTCCATTTAACCCTTAAACAGCTTGTGCACCTTCTCCAAGGCAGGAACCTAGGAAAGAAAAGTGTCTGGCACCCTAGTGGGCCCTAGGAATTACTGAATCCATTACTGAAACCTGTTCATATTTAGTATTTGCCTTGAGCTAGGCCAGTGAAGTCTGTTAACATGGTCACATCACCGTCCTTGCCCCCAGAAGTTCAAAGTCTACCTGGATGACAGTGTTCCAAACAATCCTGACCAAGCCCTGCTGTCAACTGTGCCTTTGAGATGTACAAAACATGAGTGATATGGAAGAGGCCACAAGAATTCCAAATGGGGTGCCGGAGCAAGGACAAGTGAGGGAAGACTCATGGAGAACATGTTTTAGAATCAGAACTTCAAGAGTTTGCCTGACTCCCACCAGTCTCCAGAGGTGGTCTGTGAGGAGCCACAACAATGCGAGCTCATCTTTCTCAAGACTACTGAGCATCCAGTGACCAGTGTTTATCTATCAGAATGATGAGTGTGTGTGTGTGTGTGTGTGTGTGTGTGTGTGTTGCATAGGAAGGCCAAACAGAACTATGACATGGAAAACCAAACTGAAAATGGAAAGCAATCATCCTTCGCCCAAACTCAGCCCTGCGTGTGCAGGTGAAATGCAGTGGGGTGGGGGGTGAATCCCTAAGGAGGAGGGGGTTGGATAGGGAGCCCTTTCTTGGTTACTCCTTGGTTTAGGACACTTGAAGTCTAAAAAGAATGTGAGGAAGGAGGGCCTTTGTTCTTTTGGCGGACCTTATTCAAGCATCGCCTCATCTGCATAGGTAAATGGGAGAGGTCAGCAGTGCAGGGCGAGGCAGCTGTGGCCCTGCAGCTGCGGTGGAAGGGCTGCAGTGGCAGTGGCGGGGAGTCCCCCAGGCTGCTCTGGGCTGCAGCACCCTCACTGGGGCTGGGTGCAAGAGAGGAGGGAATGGGAATGGAAGGGAGGAAGAAATTGTGTCCAAGGGGAAGGGGTCCTAGGTGTCATCTTTGCCATCCCTACTATTTTACACACAGGGAGGAGCTTATCCAGTTATCGTCGGCGACTGTCAGAACGTTGGCCAGAACCAATGTCCCTTGACTTGAGGGCTAGTAGTGTGTTCTTTGTCTTTTGCAAAGCTGGGGTGAAGGGGAGGTGGAAAGGGACAGAAACGTAGAAGTCCAGAAACTAGAGGTGAAGGGCCCCAGGCACCCCACCAGACAGGTGGGTGCTCCTTCTTGGAAGCTGTTCTCTGCAGGTTTACTTTGGTCTTTCGTTCTCTAAAACTCAAACTAACCATTCTCTAGGGACACAGGAAGTTTAGGAAAATCATGTCTTCTGCAAAGCTTTCACAATTCCCGTGAAATTTACAAATTGTCCTTGTCATTGTTGCATGGTCAGTGGAATCCTTTACAATCTTCATTCAGTGTTACTTTTGTAAGCGGAGACTTCATAGTTTAATTCTTTCTGAAGGCTTTGAATGGCAAAAAGGATGGGCACTAGGAAATTATTCCTCAAATTTTACTTTGTGTTTTTGAAGGGATTAGGCTCAATTTTATTTTAGGTTTGTAAGATGCTAAACTGAGGCATCTGTGCTCTCTTGGGAAGAACATCCAACTTGACATCAGGTTACCTGGGCTCAAAGGTCATCTCTGCTATTTCCAAGTCTTTTTTTTACTTTGGTCAAGTCAATTTTTCTCTGAGCTTTCATTTCTTCATCTTTAAAATGGTGACATTTCAATAACTAAACTATGGAACCAACCTAGATGTCCTTCAACGGATGAATGGATAAAAAAAACGTGGTACATATATAAAATAAAATATTACTCAGCCTTAAATAAAAATGAAATCATAGCATTTCAGGTAAATGGATGGAGCTAGAGGATATCATGCTAAGCGAAATAAGCCAATTCCCAAAACCAAAGTCCAGATGTTTTCTCTGATAAACACATGCTGATCCATAATGGGGAGGGGGGTAGGGAAGAATGAAGGTACATTGGATTGGGCAGAGGGGAGTCGGGGGAGAGGAGGGGGTGTGGGGTTAGAATGACAGTGGAATGAAACAGATATTATTACCTTATATACATGTATGACTACACTACCTGTGTGACTCTGCACCATGTACAGCCAGAGGAATGAGAAATTGTGCTCCATTTATGTACAATGTGTCAAAATACATTCTACTGTCATGTATAACTAATTAGAACAAATTTAAAAAAAAGAAAACATAAAGGCACAGAAAGGTTGAAAGCACTATTAAAAAAATGGGGATGTTAACAAATAAAAAAATTAAAAAAGGACATCCTCCCCCACAAAATGGGGTGTTAATAATAAAATCCTTTACAAGATGGTGAAATCCCCTGCCCCTGACAGAGATTCTTCTTCTTCTTTTTTTTTTTAAATGTTTTTTATTTGGCAATGGAACTTTATTTTATTTATTTATATACAGTGATGAGAATCGAACCCAGTGCCTCACACATGCTAGGCAAGTGCTCTACCACTGAGCCACTACTCCAGCCCCCCCCCCCCGCCCCTGAGCTTCTGACACAGATTAAAGGGAATCACATGTATAGAAGAGTTTGGCATAGAGCCTGGTGTGTAGTAGCTGCTTCGTAAATTATGAGGTTAGATTTCTCACAGCCCTGGAACCCTAGAGAGCCAACTCAGTCTTAGAGGTGGTATCTACCAGTTAGGAGACCTTGGGAGCCTTGAGCCAATGACGTGGTCTCCCTTGCCCAGTTTACCTCCTTCTACACAAGTGCCTGGGGCCCCTCCCATGTTTCATGATTCTTTATGGGGTTTCCATAGACAGAAAACACCTTTGCTTATGTAAATCACATTCGTGTAGAGACAAGAACAAGGCCACTGTCCCTCCACACATCTGGGGAATGGCCCTTGTCCGGTGGATTGGTTTCAAGATCGAAAACTAAATTTCTGACTATTCTATTTATTGATTGGTTTCTACTTATTAATCTTTCTCTGGCTATTAGCAAGCAGATTAGCTGAACAAATGAAAAATTCTGATGAAATCTGTCCTATCTTTAGATAAACCTGTGTTCATAGGAAATGATGGGGGCGAGTCAGTGACCAGTCATCATGGTCAAGGACATTTCCACTGATGGTGTGCATTCATCTAAAGTGATTGGTACAGCTTCTTTCCAGGGAGGACATATTCCAGGGGATGTCAGAAGAAGTGAATCTGGGTCTCAGCCCACCACTGCCTAACAAAATCCAAGTCAGAGAATCATGGGCAGAACAAATCATGGACTGATTTTTTCAACTCTTTTATTTAACAGTTGTCAGAATGGTGGCCCAGAAATGTGAAATCCTTGATCTGTAAGATACATTTGCTAATTAATGGCCAACATTTTTACACGGACTTCATTAAGTCCCAGAACAACTTAGGTCTCTAGAATCCCAGTTCAACACTTGTTCCTTTAGCCTACTAAATCTAGAAAGGCCACATAATACTCTTCTTTTGGAAGTCCCCCTCAACAACCACTGGGTAATTCTGATTTCTGTTCATGACATTGCCTTCAACGAATAAGAGTACAAGTTTAAGTTGAATACCTGAAAGGCTGTAAAAATGAAGAGTCTTCATATTTGTTGAGTGGAACCTCAAATACAGAAGTTGATTTAGATGGATATAATAAGGTGGTAGGTTTTGCTGAGACCTAAGGAAGCACTTTTTGACAGGTAGAGCTATCAGAACTGGAATGCTGTGCCCTGGAATGGAGGTGACCAAGTGGATGCCAGATATTTTATGAGGTAGTAGGTTAGATTGGGTGACTCTGAAGGTCCCACGTATCTTTAATAAACCCATATGGAGTTAATGAGAGACTCAGATTTAAATAATCCTTTATGAAACTTGTGAGCATCTGCACCACTGGCCAGTTACTGACTACCTCTCATGCTAATTAAATTTGCTATCTAGTATGCAAAGTAGAACTTCCTTTTGTTTGCTCTCAAATTAACTTTGCAAACTTTGGGGTAAGGGAAGGCTGGGATAGTTCTGTTTTTCTGAGATGTGTTGATTAAATGCATAGTTCCATTCTGCCAAACATTGCTATATACCCTCTCAGCCTGTTCTTTTTTGATTGAGGAAATCTAATTTTGCTAAATCTACATTTATATCAATAAACTTCCATCATATTGATGATTTGAATAGTTTTTCTCTGTCCTTCTCCCACCTCCCCAGCTCCACTAAATTTTTTCAAGGTCCTTGAGTAGAACTGCCAGTCCCCCCACCCACCTCCAGCCCACACACTGCATTCATGTGAACAGGGGATCACACCTTTTCTGTCTGGCTTCCATATTCTTTCTGATGAAACTCCACATTCCTGTGAGCTTTGCAACATCAGCAGCTCCTGGAGTCCAGATCTGTCAGAATCGATTTCAGGATCTGCCCTGCCACTATTAGCTGTGGATGTTGTATAAGCCACTAATTTAATTTTCCCTTGTATAATGGAAAGAGGAATACTTTTTTAAAATTAAGATACAAAGGCAGCAACAAGAAATAAAAGATGATCCATGTGAGTATTTTATGTGGAACCCATATAGAGACTGCATGTAGTACCTGTTTATAGAAGGGAAACAAACTTAAATGCATTTGTTGAGTTGGAATATGTTAGAGTTGATCATTTTGATAAATAGGGATTTGAGTATATTTTGCCTAAGAGAACTGCTTTATACTTGCTTTATATTGAACTGAAGTTCACTTGTTACTTTTTTTTCTATTTTTTTCTGAGATCTTTATGTCCTTGAGATTTAAAGTAAG